AAAATCTGATCAGATATCCAATCAACAGGTTTTTAAAACGTTTTCTTGTTCGAGCCAATAACTTTTCGGTACCCCCGTAAAAGCTCAGTATACGGACTGACTAGATAGCCCAACTTGATATGCATAACACCGCTTTCTTACTACTCCAGTAGTCAGTATACATATATGCTAATAAAATCTGCAATACCAACATTATCTATTTTTGCAAATTTGAAATGTGAAGAATGTGAATCTTAGTACATAAAGTGTTACATTATGATTATTGCTTAGTTTTCATAATATAGTTGTAACATAGCCAAGATAAAAATTATTTTCTGTGTAATTTTCATTCAGTTCTAATAACGATTAAAAACTGAAAAGTCACGATAAATATAATGATGCTATTGGTACATACACTCATATATTAAAATTAACACATGCTGTACTTGTAAGTTTAAATCAGAATTATGCTCAGTTAGCGGTCGGCTAGTTAAACAGTCTTTTCAAAGCGTAAATTAAGAAAATATATATATTTGGCCCAAATTATGTATAATCATGTATTTTCATTGCTAAAAGAAAAAAAAAATGACGTCGGGGTAATTGGCGTATAAGCAAAAATTATGAACGAAATTAAATTAAGTTAAATTGGAGATTTCGAGGTATGTGACGTTTCTACTATTTTTACCGTGTAAGCAACACAATTTAAATACACGGTTCTAAGCCGGGAAAACTGAACGAAGGATCGTTAAATGTCAAGAATAAATAGATGAATAAAACTGTTCTTTTTACATTGAAAATTTTAAATGCTTACAAAATTCACTAGTATTTCGATGTTTGGAAGTAACACAGCTTATCTAGTGACAGCTTTGAAACGTGGGGTTCTGGGAACTTTCGTTGAAGAAGGTTTAGTGTGTCAGTTTTTTTACGCCTCAATCACAAATGGAAGGTAAACATTTGATTGCGAACCAGGAGATAAAACAACACTTTTTTTTTCGAAAAATAATAATGTAATAGAATTCTAATTAACATTCATTACTTTTATTCTTCTTTTTGTTTCTTCTGACGCAGCCAGTCTACATATTCTAATATTTATTTTCATTTCTTTAATTTTTATGTTAAAGTCATCGCATTATTCCAGAATATGAAAACCTCAAAACACTAGTTTTCTTAATTTATTACTTATTAATCTCTAATATCTTTTAAAGATTATAGTTTAAAAAAGCTTTACATATTCTGTGAATTTGTATACATTTTTTATCACTACCTCTTTTTATTAAGTATTAACAGAAATATTTCATCTTTTAAAATAACATAGAAATTAAAGTTATTCATTTTCTTATAATAATGCGTTACCAATCAGTAGGCATTTAACTTTGCACTCTTTAACAGTTGATATTATACATTTCTGTTCAATTGTGATCTGTGAACGAACCTGTTGCGTTTATGAGTGAAACATGGTGTTAAATCAAATTAAATATAACTTTAATAAAATTTTCTGTTAGAAAATTACATATGTTATGGTTATTAGTAAATGAACATTTTGATTTTTATGATGCACATGCGTGCAGTCACGTGTGTGTTAGAGAAGGGATACTGCATTCACAAACTATATTAATAAATTTAATTATTTATTAATAAACGTAGCAAATATAAAATTGAAGTATAATAACATGAAATTTAAAATCTACTAATTATGCATATTCATTTATAAAGAAATCGTTTTCAAATATATTTTTCTTTTTAAGAAAAGGTGATATGAAAGTATTCCCTCTGTGTGTGTGTGTGTGTGTGTGTGTGTGTGTGTGTGTGCGTGCGTGCGCGTGAGTCCTATCAAATGTAAAGTACAATACTAGTTCAATCAGCGGTCGAGTAAATAAAATAATTTGGGACCGATGATTTGTTTATTATTATTAGAACTTAACCAAGTATCATTTGCCTAAGACACGCTACAGCGATCCTACGACCACACTTAGTCATGGGACTGATGATGATGATGATGATGATGATGATGATGATTGAAAGAAAAATGAAAGGAAATTAGGCAAATGACTGAGAGTTTCATGTGGTGTATAAAAGTGTAGATTAAATGATGCAATGATATAAATGGATATTTTGATTTATTTTATCCGATCATATCAAAGTTTGTAATCACTGTTGTTAATTTTGCTATGTAGACTTAAAAATTATAATCTATTTTATCGTAGTTTGTGGGAAGGTTGAAGAATCTTTCTTCTCGTCACATACATATGCAGCGACATTATATATAAAAATTAAGAAATAATTAATTTTGTCAACATTCAAAACTAAAAGTAACAATAAGCAGTCTCTATAAGAACGCACTGCGATATATCAACTGTGATTTCGATTTCATCCAATTTTATAAACTCCTTTTGAGGTAAATGCTATCGTTGTTTACAGTCCCGTTCACATTGGTCCTGTGCAAGGCTTATTCTCGCTCTAAAAAGCTTCAATTGCTGGCATTGCTTCCTAAAAGTATCATTACTTCGAGTGCAATGGTTAGACGAAGGCGAAAGAGACAAAGTCAATGAAAGTTTATAACAATTTAGCACAGTATTGGTCCCTGGTTGGAATGAAGGGCCATATTCGTGCTGTGTACTGGTGCGACCACCAACCACGTATGTATGCATGTGCGTATGTATGGCATACTCATGAACACCTATGCATTCTTCTTTTTTTTAAATAGACAAAGAAAAAATATAAAAACGGCTGTTTACGCTGTACATCAATCCATATAAAATATACGTAAAATGAATCGCTTTAAATCATCGGGGTTACGCATGCATCTAGTAAAAACAACATTAGGTTCATTTTATGCATGAAATATTTACAGCTGTATCTAAATACCTTCATACTTTTTAAATAGTAACAAAATTAATTCAGTATCTTCAGATTCTCCAAGTTACCTAATATATTTAAAGTTTTTGGAAACATGCTTCAGCATTAGATTTTTATTTCTTTTACATCAGAGATATCATAGTTTTTGACAGTTATCAATTCATAATACCCAAGTGCATTTCGAATTCATAAAATCAAACGGGGAATCCTGTGGGGGTGATCTGTTTTCCAATTGGTTACAGAAAATCCAGAAGAGAGAGAGAAAAAAAAAGAAGAAAACATTTGTTTTCTGTTAATATTTATTCTACAAAAATTCTGGAAATTCTAAATATTATAAATTAATAAAATATTTACTCTTTTATGTACTTGGTTTTTAGCTTCACTGGGAATGGAATATAAAGCACGAGATAATTTATAAAATGATATTTGTATTACCTAATCAAACTTAGAAGATACACTTATTCAACACCAAGCACTCTACCACACAACTTGTAATTTTTCAACCATCCAATATATGAATATATATATATATATATATATATATATATATATATATATATATATATATATATATATATCACTAAAGGAAAATGTATTGCTAGGAAATGTTTTATTTTCTGAACAGTGGATTTAATAAGGCACCATTCAAAATAATTCAGAATTCCCTAGCAATACATTTGCCTTTATTGATGCAGAATAATTTACTTTTGCATTTTAAATATATGGTAATGAGCATTAAAAAATATACAACATTTATTTCGTTTTTTCTAAGATTTGCCTAAGAATATTTCTGTTGAATTTTCGAAAGGTATTATTGGATTTCATAATACATTAGAAATAGCTAAAATTATAACAAAGATTAATTATAAGTATATCTGTCTAGAATTGTGTTTGTATATAAGCATATATAAAAATGACAAAAAAAATATTAAAAATATTTGATGGGGAAGGATTTATACTAATTTTGAGCACTTTTGAAAAATATTTAAGTATGAAAATATTTTATATTTAGTTGAAAGAAAATTCCGTAGAATATACTTGTAGCTAATCGGAACCGCTTAATAAAAAAGTAAGAAAAGTTCTTTTTAATCAACCTCAAAAAGGAAAAGTTTCTCATAAAAATGGTCTGCGTTTCAGCAGTGAACTGACGAAAAGTAAAAATTAGCAAAATAAAGCGATGAGAGTTTTGTTCTACAGGGTGGTTCGAAAGTCTTGTTACCCCTACATAATATAATTTTCTATTTCAGATGGCTGACACAAGCTCCTACAGTTTGGAAGTGAGGGTTAGGGTGACAAAACTTTCGGACCAGCCTGTAGAATAATCAAAATGAAGAATTAAAATGAATTTATTGTATATATGATGAAATAGTTTAGAAATTTTTATATGACATGACGTAGGACTCACTAATGCCAAGAAAAGACAACAAATAAAACCGTCCAGGTCCGAAATAATACATGTTCGTTTTCCGTATTGAAATGAGTAGGGAAGTATTTTTTTATTTCAAAAATTTAGTGAACTCAGGTGATTTCGTAAACAACACACAATATATACGTTTTTGTCGGATTTCCTTGAATTTTATAAGCAAGAAATAAACCAAATCTTAATAAAACCCTTTGATTACTACTACTACTACTAATAATAATAATAATCACAGTAGCAACAAAACAATATATCAGGTAAAACACCACCACCACCACTACTACTACAACTAAATTAATTACACTCTCTTCCTATTAGCAAAGAATAATAACAACAACAGTAGCAACAAATAACTTCGTTTTCATATTAAGCGAGATTATAAAAACCTGCATTCCAAACCAAGTGTAAGATGGTGAAGCCAGTAACCACTCGCCCCAACTTCGGCAGAAAATCTTAATTCCAAAAGTTTATTTTGCCTCGAGTAAGGCTTGTGCTCATGACCCTTGAATAAGTTATTACAAACTTTCTAATTCTAATTTAAATGCTAAAAATGTTGGTTCCCATATATTAGAAGAATGAAAGCTCTTACTTTGAGAACAGTTGTTCAATATTGCAGTACAAATTCTTCGATTCCTTGTTTATATAAAACAACTATTTGTTTTTTCACTTAAAATGAAATAATGCGCTTGAAATAAAACGTGGAAGCGAAGAACGTGTTTCGACATCTGGGAAAATTCAGCACAAAATGCACTGTTATGGAAACCCTTTAGGAGAAAGAACCCTTCTCACTTCTCATCATCCTCTGTGTCCCACTGCTCCACCGACTTCACCAACTGCTTTCCCGTTACTCTCCCTACCAGACCCTTATGCTGCAGTACTCCCACTCGTCTGACTCCATTGAAAACACTCGTTTTCATCTCTTAGCCTATTTTTTATTCCACACACACACACACAGATATGCTGTATACTAATAGTAACAGACACTTCGTTTTCAAACGTATTATTAATTTATTCACTGCTGAGTATACGAATATTCATGTTATAACAGGTAATACTGACAATGATGATAATGGTGACATAATTAAATTACATTCTCGTTATTCTATTATTAGAACACCAGCAAAAACAACAACAACAACATCAACAACAACAATAATAATAATAATAATAATAATAATAATAATAATAATAAGAAGAAGAAGAAGAAGAAGAAGATAATAAGAAGAAAGAAAGCTGTTCAAACTACGACTGTGCAGAATGTGCAGATACTGAGATTTTTGCAGTCACTCATCCTTCATTCAGAACTACTAAGCATCGGGCAGAAATATGCAGATGCGTGAAATTAGCATCTATTTTTTTTTATAGACATCTGAAAAATGTGATTGTAAGTAAAAGTTTTTTTAAAAAGTTATTCCAAAATCAAATTCAAACCATTCAATTAGACACATTTTGCCTATTCGGTCTTTGTAAAATTAAACAGTTGTCATTTACAGAAACTCTAAAAAGTCTAAATGTAAGGTTTTTTTTTCTTTGTTTGCACACGTACACACACAGATATACATATAGTGTCTTTTTATAGCGTCTCTGTAGTCACTCAGCCGACTGTAACCTATGACATTAGTCGTTGAAGATAGGGACCTAGAGAGGGAAATATATTGAAATGGTTTTCTGTTACCTTCTGAACAGTTTTGAAGTTTTAGAGTTGTCCTTTTTCTAGAATGATATCCATCCTAAGACTAAAAGGTTTTCGTCTACCTTATTATTTTCCCATAACTGGAAGAAAAAGCGATAAATTCCTGTCTTATCCAAGAGAATTAATGCAAAAGTGCCTTGGCTGAAATTTGAACTCGGTCTGTCGTTTCCATTTTCCGTGCTGATAGTAATAAAAAATACCCGCAAGTGTATTAAATGGAGACTCTCATATAGCCGTATCGAGAAGCGCAAAAATCGACATAAATAATTTCCTTAATCCTAGGAAAATTTAAAGCGGGAAATATGAGTCATTGTTTGAATCAAGAAAGAAGCCTTTTGGTGGCATTTTACGTGCCTGTTGAAAAAAATGAAATGTATTTTGTCTTTTAACTTAGCAAAATTGAGAAAATACAATGATAGTATATGTTAAAAAGCATATAAAATGTGCATAAGATACCTGTGCACTCATAGGTGTTTGAGCAAGCAGGTTTCTTCATCTCTTGGGAGGATAATTTAAATAAGATTTCGAAATTTGGATTTTAGCTGCACATTTTTAAAATATGATCAAACACACCGAATTAGAAGTTTAATATTTTTTTATGGTTAGAAGATTCATAGATAGAAACTTAGATGCATATCAGAATAAGAACAGTTTCCGATAAATATAAAAATAAACAGACCGTGATAGATAGACAGACAGACAAAATCAAAATAATTTTGAAGGGGATTTCAGGCAGACCTCTATTCTAGTCGCATGTCTAATTCTTGTGCCTTTTCATAAACTTTAACCAAAGCCACATTAATTGCAACAGCCATCACTACTGGTATCCAAATGCTGCGAGTGCAAAAACTACAAAACTTCTATTCTACCAGATTGGTATCAGTTCTTGATAGGACAACTGACATGGCTCGTAATATAAACACGTTACTTTTTAACAAGAAGATTGAGTTAAAAATTACTAAATAAATAATATTTCATCAGTTAAGAGCTTTTAAAATGTAACATTCCCAGAATGTCTTTGGCAAAATTTATCCTACTTCAAATGTTCTCCTATACACTGATTTATAAAATAAGAAAAATAGATAACTTGATTTTCAGGACATAGAAGAAAATATTTAATTACATTCGGTATATACGTGTTTACATTTTGATAAAGATATTGAAGCAATATACTTATTTAATGTTTTCGACATAGTTTCGTTTGCCGTGATATTTAAAAGTGAGTATCTGAGATCGAATCCCAACTACCGTAATCCTTTCGCGTCTTTTTTTTTTTTCATTTTATGTCGTCAGTGTTGCATTTCTGCGTTCATATATTTTCATGTCAATAGGAGAAATAACACTAACGCAGATTATTAGAAATAAACTCATCTTTTCTTTTTTTTTATTGTTCGACATCAGCGTGAATCGTTTAGCACTGAATGAAATTTATTTCTTTTTGCGATGCTCAACAAAATATCGTAAATAACATTGAGGCGATATATTTCTGTTCTGCTTTTTAGTCTATTTTTGCACGTAACAGACATAAACAGAAAAAGGAAAGAAAGAAAGAAATCGAAGATAATAGGATTTATTTTACTGAAATTACGTCGTTTCCTATATATTTTAAACGCACTTTAAATGCTGAAAAATCTACGCATTCACCGAAACACATATCTGTGTAATAGGTGGGGTGCAAATACACTCTTATTTATTATCTCATGTGAATAAATCCTCACTTAGTTTGTATACTACAAAGTGTGTGTATACGCACGTGCGAGTATTGACATTATCATATAGCTGGTTTCAACAGGATATCAATAAGTAATCACATCAACGTGCAATCTCAGAATAATAAAAAAGAGATTTCGAAACAGAAATAACAAATTTAACCAAACTCTATTTGCTCTGTTACAAAGGAGACAGATGATTCAAGGCAAATAAATACATAAATAAATAAATAATACATATCAGGGCAAATACTTAATGTACAGACGTTATAAACTTAATATATGACATGTAAATGGTAAGGACCACATGCTCGCAAATCAGACACCGTACATTTGCCTTGATAAAATCCCTTAGAGGACAAAACGCGTCGGCTTAGATAAGTTTTCCTTTTGTCTTTATTCATACTGGCCTTTTACAGATATCTTCTATCTGAAATTGTAAACACATATATATATGAATGTAAAAAAAATATGCAGTCACAAAATCCTTATATCTGGAAATTTATTTTGTGTATCTGATATATATATATATTTTATATATATATATATATATATATATATATATATATATATATTCTTCTCCTGGCTGAAACTAATCGAGAAATCTAAATGAAATAATAATAAAAAAAACGAAAGAATATTAATTTACAACCCAGTGTGTCTGAAGATTTTAATTTTTTAATATTTTTTTTATTGTTCAAAATATTACACGCGATCATCCTTTTTTTTTTAAAGTATACCTGTGATATTTTATAAATTTCAACTTCCCATACGTATGAAGATGCATACGGGTCCTGGCGCCAAAAAAGATGATAATTTAAAAAATGATTTACAGAAATAGTTATGGACTCAAACACAAAACATAAAAGCTAAGATACTTTTTTCTCTATTACTACCCTCCCACAGATATTTATTGTTTATTTTTTCTATTTGATGTTTTTGTGACCTTCCCTTTCTTTTTTTTTTTTTTTTTATATTTTAACTGAAATAAAGCCATAATCCGTTTGCGTTTATTTTACCAGACATATTCTACCGTTTGTTTTGTTAATTGAAGTAGCTTGAATTTGAGTAAATTCGTTACATTAAAAAAAAAAAAACAAGAAATGTGAATATCGCTTACGAAACAATACATATGTATACGCATGTATCTGTATATGAATACACACACACATATATATATATAAATATAATGTTATGTCTAAACTTTTTATTTACGGTTCTGTGTTGTAAAAACCTGCGCACAATGCACATAATGTAGATAAAAATTCGATTCATACACAAGAGAATTATTCCTACAATCACTCACAAGTATATTAGCCTCACACATAACCCCATCTCATTTATTCTATGAACCTGACACAAGTTAAACTAGACACAAACGCATGCGGCTCTAAGTATAAGTGCGAAAACACTAGAAACAAAATTTTTGTACGCAAAAAGACAGATAAAATTTCAGAAAAACAAAACCTAATATTGTTGCTTTCACGCGAAAATGTTCTTAGATTTTGGTGTGATGCATGAAAACAGGATGATTGGTACTGTTGTACAGACAGTTCGATACCCGATGCGCACGCACGCGCATTCGACTGTCGTTTATTTTTTAACTTGATTGTTTCAGAGTTTGTTCGGCTTCATTTCTTACAGGTACCAACTTTACACGAAAAAAAAAAAATTAGTCATTAAAGGTAATTCTGACCTAAGTGCGTGTTGTGAACTTACTTAAAAAACGTCTCTGCCCTCTCTTCCTCATATCACATACAAGCATCAGTGACAATCGAATCCACAAACAATAGTTTATGGGACGATCACTCTGTGGTAGATGTTTATACGTGTATATGTTCGAGTGTATGAGGGAAAGATGGAGGAACCAAATTTGCATTTTTATGCACTACATTACATGTCAATTTATTGCACCGCAATAGATATATGTACCTGTGATAAAAAGGCTAACGCAGTTTTGGGGTTTTGTTTTTTTTTAGTGTATCTGCAACTTTTCTGCGAGAATAGTAGAGTTTGTGAAATTAATATACATGAGTATGTCTACATAGAGTGTATACAAGCATCCGTTTTGATTGCTACCCTGAAAGCTTTGTGTGTGCGATCTTGATTCCAAGCAGGACGTGTGTAATTATGTGGATTGCCGACTGAACATATATGTGGTAAAGATGCGAAAATCTGTATATGCTTGTTTCTAATAACAAATATGCATGTATGGACATTGGTGTATGTGCACGTCTCTACATTGAGCACTGGACTTGCCATCGGTAGCTTCTCAAAAGAGCAAATATCCACTACAACAAGACCAGTATCTAGTTATAATTGTGTGTATTCAAAATGCCACTGCTTCTGTTTTGATTACACCTTCTTATTAGGGTACAAACATAGGGTGCATGCACTCTCAGTGCGTGAATTTGTGAGAGTTTGTCAGGTGCTAAATACTAAGAGAGTGTAAATACGTGCGTGCCTGTGCGTGGATATGTATTT